AAGGGAAGGGAAGGGAAGGGAAGGGAAGGGAAGGGAAGGGAAGGGAAGGGAAGGGACTCAAAATCCTATTGTGACAGTATAAGATATTTTAAAAGTGATACTTTAGTGTCATCACTAAATATCTTATTTTTTGGATGTCATAATTAAGGAATTCCACATTTAATTAGAATGGTCTTAACCACCACAGAGTTCACATATGGTCCTTACTTGTTTGTTTCTCCCAGGTAATGAAGAGACAAGCTGAAAAATAGCAATCTTGCCTGAAACTGTTCCAACTGCAACAAGATCATCAAAGCAGTTTAAGAGTTTCACAACAGTAATCGACTCATTCTTCCCCTAACAAAAACAAAAACAAAATAATCATTATAAAATGAAGAAGCAAAGTTTACTTGTTTCAGGTCAGGAGATATTCTTAGGCTTTAAGTCAGGACTTAGGGGCATAAGAATGAAGTAAAAATTAAGAAGTGGATCTCAAAATGCAGATCTGAGAAATAAACAGCTCGTTTTCAATGACAGGTATGAAGCTAGACAACTATTACAAAAGTGGACTGCAGTCAACATGTCAGTGACTCAGAACTTTTGTGACACAACTTCTTTGTTTGTGTGATGGTAAGAAGATTATGGATGATGAAAATAAGTAGAATATTACATAGCAATTTTTAGGTATTATACTACTGCTTCTAGGAGGTTTGTTTAGTTGGTCATTTATTTTTAAGACCCTTCTCCATTTCTGTGGCAACAAGTTTATTTAATACCTTATAGATGAATGATTGCATTAATTATTACAATATTACTAAGTTTGAAATGTGTTACTGTTGAATGTTGACATAGATTTTGCTTTGCCTTATTGCTACTACCATCTGCTTTCAATTAGCACAGTATCATGAACATATTAAACCAACGATGAAAGGATTGCTTTTGTTGCCAACAGTGAAAGGATTGCTTTTGTTGCCAACTGCTGTCTGGACTCAATTCAAGGTGTTGGTTTTAACCTTTAAATCTTTATACAGTTTTACAAGCAAGTATCTCCTTTGTTATGAACCTGTCTAGTTATTATGATTTATAATAACTTTTTGAAGAGTTTAGTATACATAAAGTTCCATCTCAGAGGAGGCAGTGGTACACCTCCTCAAAAGAACATTGCTGGGCCCAACAGTCCTGGACAATTTTTGCTATCTCCAATCTTCCCCTTCTGGGGAATGTTGTTGAGAAAGTGGTTGGTTGCAGCTTCTGAAAGGCCTGGAAGAAACAGATTATTGGACTCTTTTCAGTTAGTTTAACGCAAGAGCATAGCACTCAGCACTGATCACACTTGTTGATGACCTCTGGTGCAACCACCCTGGCTCTCCTTGATTTCTCATGATATTCTTCCAGACCAGCTATGGAATTTAAGAGTGGGAGACACAAGTGTTGTGATGATTATCCTCCTTTCCCCCTGGCCAGTGCCAGTCAGTGTTGATAAGAGTAGAGAGACTGAGGGTCTAGTTCTTTGAGAAACCATCTCTTTCCAGTTGTTTCTCCCCATCTTATAAGATCAAGAGAGTTGGTATACTCCAGGTCCCATTTATTCCCATTTATTGTCATCTGATGGGATCCAAGAAACATGGCTTCTCCTTTGTAGCTTCTACCCTCTGGAATAGCATCTTTCAGAGGTTCAAACAGCTCCACCCCTGCTGTCCTTTAAATGATCCCTGAAGATCTGGCTCTTTCCCTGGGCTTTAGGCTACAACAGGTTGTGGGAATCCCTTTGTGAGAAGTTCTTATGTCTGTTTTCCTAGGATTATCATCTTCCTTTTCTATTCTCTGTTGTGCTAGTTCTTTGGTTTTTAATCTGCACACTGCCCAGAGTCACTGAAAAGCTGGGCAGCTTTAGAAAATGTGAATTATAATAAATAAATCAACAGACAAACTCAAAATAAATAACAAATAACAAATTCACCTCCATACTGGTGATACTGCTACCCAAGTCTCTAAATGCGTTCTCTCAGTATCTACATTCTAATGCTGAACAGCATGGAAGAAAAGGACAGAATCCTGTGAGACCTAAACTACAACTAAAAGGTCAAATAAAGATTCCCCAGTTCTATAATTCAGAATTGTCATCCAAACAAAAGCAGAATAATTGGTAAAAACAGAGGGAGAACACTTTTCCGAATCATTTAGAAAGATACTATGGCTGATTATAAACAACACTGCTGAAAAGTTCCAAAAAATCAATAGGGTCATTCTCCCACATGTTTCTGTCCTTAAACCAGGTTTGCAAACTTTGCAATCATCTAGAAACTTTGTTTTATTTAAAAGCATTTAAAGTCAACCAGCCACTAACTCTTTTGAGTATTTTACTCAAGAAGGGATATTTGGCCATAAGCTTATACAGGTAGTCCTCAACTTATGACCATTCGTTTAACAACCGTTCAAAGTTATGACAGCACTGAAAAAAGTGACTTACAACCGGTCCTCACACTTATAACTGTTGCAACGTCCCCGCAGCCACATGATCAAAATTCAGGCGCTTGTCAACCAGCATGTATTTACAATTGTTGCCACATCCTGGGATCATGTGATTGCCATTTGTGACCTTCCCAGGGAGCTTCTAACAAGCAAAGTCAATGGGGGAAGTTGGAATCATTTATTGACCATGGTGATATGTTTAACAACCACAACAAAAAAGGTTGTAAAATTGGGTACAACTGTCAGGCCCAATCCAAGAACACCTAGGAAATAGTTCATCCAAATTCAGTTCCTATACACCATATAGACAGAATCTGGCCAGACTAAATCTATACTACTGCAACTAGTAGATATACCCTGGGAGATTCTAGAGAGTGGCTATCCTGAACCACTTATGCTTTCCACGCTCCATCTCAGGACTGTGTTGTCTTTTGTCTCCTTGCCCTTCTTGGAATGTACCCCCTCCTTCCTGATAGCCTTGCTCTTTACTGCAATCCACCAAATCAACTCACTTAATGACCGCATCATGTAGCAATGGAAGTTCCAGTCCCAATTGTGTTCATAAGTTGAGGACTACCTGTAGTTTTTATAATCATGTTAGGCTTTTTGAGAAGAAGCTGGATTACCATGTATTTTAAAAGAGCTGGGACTGCTCCCTCTCTTAAGGAGGTACAGGTAGTCCTCAACTTACGACCATTCTTTGAGCAACCATTTGAAGTTATGACAGTGCTGAAAAAAGTGACTTACGACTGGTCCTTGTGCTTACGACTTTCGCAGCACCCCGGCAGTTACATGGGTCACATGATCGCCATGTGTGACCTTCCCAACCGGCTTCCGACAAGATCAATGGGGAACCGCGTGATTCACTTAACAACCATGTGATCTGCTTAATGCCCACATGATTCACTTAATGACCATGGTGATTTGCTTAATCACTGCCGAAAAAATGTTGTAAAGTTGGGTGCGGTCACAAGATACCTCACTTAATGACTGCTGAATTTTCCAGTCCCTATTGTGGCCGAAAGTTGAGGACTACCTGTAATTACAATATTGTGATCCTATGTACAAATCTTCTCATTCCTAGATTTAATAAGGCAAAGTAATCAAGTCTCAAATACATAAGGAGTTAGTCAGCTCAACTTCAGGTTCTAATAACTTAATGAAAAATCCTACAACAATTCTTGATCAATTGAATATTCTGTCAAGAGTGCCTTTTCCACTGCCTCGTATAAGTCAGAATGAATGCAAACAGTTTTACTTTCTAACTGTCTTGAAAATGCATTAGCACTACTAAAGATTTTATTCTCACATTATGAGAAATCCCATACCGTACAAAGATAGGATGCAGTAGAAGGAAAAATATGTCTTGGCCTTCATAAATGGCAAAGACAGTTTCCAACTTGCACACAAACAGAACCACTTTCTCAGTTGTTTTCAATATACTTCACTGTCCTCAGCTATGTAGTAGACAGCTATAGATACTCAGCACAGCAATAGAGCAATGCTCTGAGAAAATCATGAAAACCACCTGAATTATCTTTTCACTTAAAAGAGCAAGTAGGATTTTCTGGAAGCATCAGCCTTCCCAGGCAGCAAATGCTACAGAGTCCTAAAGAATCACAGAACATATATAAATCTTGATGTGCTGAGGAATCATTTTAATATTCCCATAGCTCTCAAAAAGGGGAACACCAATGGAAGACTCAGCTACCATTATGTCACACATCCAACGACAAGAGAACAAATATAACTCACCCACCCCCAATCCTCCTCCTCCAGTTGACTTTAGAAAGCCAAATAAAGAATATACTCCAATGCTGTCATTTTCTAATATATTGCATTATACTTTGGACATAATTGCTTATGAGAAAAATAGTATATAAGTGAAGTGATGGTGATACACAATATAGCTTATGAATAAAAAAGTAAATTTATGTAGTAAAGAACAAGTTTGCCTTAAGTACTTGCCAGGATATAAATCAAACACATACTTTAAAAAGAGATTGAGTAAAATAACAATATAGATAATTTTTAATTTTGTTTTAAAAGGACCACACAACTTACTTAAAAGAATTCTGAACCTTATGTGTTTACCTATTTTTGAGATGCTAAGTTAACCAAATACCCTAAAAGACAGAGCCATGCCAACGTTAAGATTTGTTCTTACCTCAAAATTGTATTTTTTCATCTGATTCAAATGCCTGCAGTATAAATACAGCATGCCAATACTGCTGCCTACAGCTATGTAGTCCTCATTGGTGTCAAGTGCAGTCAAGTAGACCACAATGGAACGAAATCCTTTTTGAATTTTTGTAGGAATGGCATTGAGAAGGTAGTACAAGGGGCAAAACTCCTTGAAGGTAAATGATGGTACCAGTGATGCCATAGTAAACACGATGCACTACCTATAGGCTAGAAAAGATACATTTCATGTACTCCTGCAGCCCATCAAAAAGCAGACTTTTTTTTTTTGTTAAGAACAACATTTAGTTTCCAAAATTCAGTCACAATAAAGAACACCTTCCAGTTAAAAATGCAGATTTTTAAATTACTACATAAATGATTTGGAACTAACTGGCAGAGCATAATGCTCATGCAACATTTTGTTCTCTATAGTACAGACAGAAAAACACTAAGATACTTCTTTTCTTTATTTTTCATGTAGGACAATTTATAGCCCAGAAGATTCAAAGTTATAATTGTTTTGTCTTTGGTTATTCATTCATCAGACATGCTATATTATTGCTGAGTAAAATGTATTAAACCAGCCATTATGACTTTTAAACCTTGGTTTTGGGTGTAATATTAATCTTATTAACTATATAAGCTGGATTTATATATAGTTGTTCTACTTGGATATTCTTCAGCATTATGTGAATGAACCTTAAGCTGATCAGTCTTTTCTTCTCCTTTGGCACAATCCCTAGGAGAAGATGAGAAGCTTTCACATTTAGTTATTATGTCAGGCACATTTGATTAGTTATAACCATTATGAAAGTGGCTTGTTTCAGTAAACCATAAATAATATTAATCACAGATTAGAATTTGAATATAATACTAAACTGAAATTAATTGATAACAGAAGCAAAAATTTTCTGAATTTCACCTCAGAAGCACAATGAAATAAATGTATGACTTGAGGTACATGTATGTAAATAAATTTAAACAATGACATAATTTCCCTGCATAAAACTGCACAACATATTTGTCCAGAGTTGACCAAACTGTTGCCACATTACAAAGATGGAACATTTAATGAAATATGAAAGTGAAAGTTCTAAATACTGTCCCTAAATAAAGAAAGCATAACTCATTCTACTAACATGCTAACGTAAGTCAGGAAGTCATGCGTTTTCATAAGACAGTCACCTTATGCAATACGGATTATAAGGTTCAATAGAAGATGGTTTAACTCTCTCCTGGTTTATGAATAAAAAGTATTTCAGTATTTCTTATCATTACAAACAGATGAATTTAAAAGGGCTGTACTGTACCAAGAGAAGAGAATATATATAGCTCAGGATTGAACTGTGGAGTCCTTGGGGTTCTCCGAACCAAGCTCAGAGAACCACAAGGACTCCACAGGACTCTACTGTAATTAATACTGTAGAGCTACCTTATACAGTTTTAAGAATAGTAAGGTAACATAAACATTCTAAAATTACATATAAACAATCAATATAATTATAATGGATCTTTCTAAAAAAAATCAAAGATGGAATAATTAAAGACACATTTCAATATAATTAACATTTTTGGTAGTTTATACACAAGTCTCCTTTCAAACAAATGTACTCAATGTAACTAAAGGTTTTATCATGCTATTTCCTGAGACATATAGTTATCCTGTATCAAAAGAAAGCAACTTCACACTCAATTACATGCCTTGTATCAAAATATGCTCTGATTTTCTAAGTCCAGTCCCTTACTCTAATGTACTCCAGCAAAGATTCTCCATTCAACTTCCTCCAAAGTAGACGTTTTCAATGGATCTAAAATAGTTTTCAATGGATCTAAAGTGTGCCCCACTCTCCTTAAGAATTGGCCAGAGTGTTCAAGAGCAAGGGCCACAACTGTAGTTTCCCCTGAGAACACTAATAACTAATGAAATTACAATACTGATTCACAAACAAAGCATACATGCAGGAGGACAACTCTAAAGAGATATACAAGTTGTCCATTTTTGTGTAAAACAGGAGTTTTAATATTAATATTTTGGGCTTTTTTATATTTAAGAATGCAATTCTACTAAAAAGTTAGGGCCACAATTTGTAAAAAAAAGAACACACTATCGATAGAGCTTTTCAATATTTTAGCTGCTCTCTATTCACTTTTAATACCAGTAGTACTTTGGTTGTATAGCTTTTTCACATAATGTGGAGTGCAAGATCTTAGTAGGACAGTGACCTGTATCCTTCCAGAACTTCAGGTGAGTGGAAAATGGTCTACAAGGAGACAATAATATATTGGCAAACATAGCAAATAGATGATACGTCTATTTTGAAAGACAGAAGCTAAAAATTAAAGAGAAACCCCATCCATCCTTTTAAACAGAAAGTGCATACAAATCTAACCTACGTGTAATGGGCACTTTTCTGAAAGGAAACCAAAAACTGTTGAACCCTCAATTTTCACAAGCACCTGTGCATACCATTTGAGGGGCATTTCCACAGAAAGACAGTAAAACACCGTTTAGTTTTAGCCAAAGCTGGCAGAATCCGTTTCAATGCGTTTTCCGTGCCAAGCCTCTAACAGCGGGCGAACAGATAAAGTGCAGGGCGTCTATCAGCACCCACAGCAAACATACAAGACATTTAAAGGGGAGGCAGACTTGCACCAGCTGGTTTTGGGCCCAGCACTTCCTTCGTTGGGAAGTTAAATACCGAAGGGGAAAGAGACTGGTAACTTACCCCCACCCCGCCACGAAAGAGGGCAGAGAACGAGCCGAGGCAGCAGCTCTTTCGGGACATCCGCCCCAGACCGTAGCAACGCGGCCTTGGAGACCCAGCGCTCCCCCGCCCGCCTCGCCTGACTAGGCCGCAAGCTCCCTACCTCACCTCAGTAGGACCCAGAGACCCTCATGATCAACGGGGGAGCCGCGGCCGCTCCCCCCAAGGCCTGGCGACGCTGGGAAAACAAACCCAGCACCAGCACCCGCGGCGGCAGCAGCAGCTGCAGCCGGGCGGGGCCGGACGTGAGCGCACTTCCGAGAGGAGGGGCTTAGGAAGTAGGTCGCTGGCCGCGGAGGCGAGGGGCCATGGCCGGTGAGTTTTCTCGGACCTAGGGGGAGGATTTCTAGCCTCTTCGCTGGACCGGGGTTAAGGCCGCCGTATTCTTGAGTGACGCGGGCTTCCTGCTCTCGGGTGGCGGGCGGGCGGGTGAGTGGCGTGGCTGTTGGCAGGATGGCGAGTGCCGATGGCAATGTTTCTACGCGCCTCGGTCGACGCGGGGTGAAAACTGGCCCTTGCAACCCGCTGAAAAGAGAGTCTAGTGAGCCAGGCGCCGCTTTCAGTCTGTCTTTGTAATGCGAGGGCAGTTGAATGAACACGCAGGGAAGGCATGGTCCAGCACTGGAGATGCTTAGGATGGGTTCTCACAACGTGCCAGACGAGACTAAAATGAAGTTGGGTGGTTTGTGGTTGCCCAGTTAGGCGGCAGCGTGTAACTGAGGTTAGCTGGAAAGGCAAAGCAAGGCGGGACTTGATTACAGTATTACTCGGATAGGAAACCATCAGAAATAAGAGCATTGGAAAAAATATCTCTAGTAGGATATCGTTAGGGGGACGCGGTGGCGCAGCGGCTTAATGACGCTGAAAGTTGCCGCCCAGAAATGGTTGACGCTTCAGCGG